TAGCTTCTTCATCTACTATTTACTCTGTTTATATGTCTAAAACTCCACATATGTATAATGATATCAAAGAACTTGTCTGTGTGTAGATACAAGGAAATTGAATGAAATGTATAAGTTGTTCTGTTAGTGTTGAAATTTTAAATACTGAAAGCAGTAGCTTTTATTGGAATTCTAGGACTCAGGCGTTATCTCTTTTCATGATAAACTTACTAAATCTGTCTACATTTCTCAATTTGTGGACATCTCAAAAGAAACACATGCACACACACACCAAAGGAGGCATGAATTTGCCAATTTCAATGACATGATCTCAAGCTAACCCGTTGTATTTATCATGTGGAAAGCTTGAAGTATTAAGCTGAGCTAAATTGTGAGAAGGTTGTCAACGGTTATTATGGTTTCATCCTCTGTACTAAATTACTAAATTTCAAATATTTTAAGTGTGGAAATTTTTTTATTGCCACTATTATATTCAAAAATTGCCTAATTTTTGACATATGGATGTCTGTGAAGATGATATTAATGAACCAGGTTCTTTCAGAAATGAAAAAGTTTTAGGCTTCCCTTAGTTGGTGCTTTTGCACTTGCTTTTTACTTCTGGAAGCAAAAAAGCAAAAGCACGTTTGGACGCAAAAGTGATAAATTTTTTGAAAGATTATACATAAAATATACTATAACTTTTTTAGATGACAAAATATGTGATTTTACTTTTAATAGACTAATTATGTTATAGCTGATGCTATATTTTAGTTATTTGTACTCTTTAAATCAGTGATAATGTATTACTTTTTACCTTTTGCTTTTGTTCTATAGCAATTCTTCACAAAAGCAAAATGAAAGTAGTAAAAGCATCAACAAAACGAAGCGTTAGTGGTGTTTAGAAGTAAATCTGTGTGGGAAATATTAGGTTAAGCTGCAAGGGGATGATAGAAGGAGAAAGTTTAACCTTTGATGTTGTTTTCATTATAATCAATAATTCTATCGTGTGAGCCTGTCAGGTGATGTTTTCAGTTCATGGTTAGAAGTGAGAATTAAGGACAAAAAGAGATTTGATTTTAGGTGTTAAGGGAGAAAGTGTATCTGTTTGTCATTTATTTAATAATCTTGCCTTAAGCTGGAATTAAACAAACTATGTTGTTTGTTGATGTTGGCAGTGATATTCACTCTTTCTCCCATTGAACTAATGTAGTCTTTTAGGTGATGACTCTGAGTTACTTGTCATCTTCTTTGTTTCTGACTAAATTTATCTGTGCAGACGATGTAATGATGAGCTTATTCTTGAATGAACTTTACGGCTTCCAACTAGATAACCACCGATGGTAAGTCTAGTCTTATTTTACTTTACTGTTCAATAGCTTAGAATCTTTTAAATTCTTAAAAACTGTTATGGAATAAGGAGCTGGTCATTAATCAAAAGCTCACAGTCTGCAGGCTCAGTAATTTATTTTTGAACAAAGCAATAACTTTATATTTTTTACGGAGTCGTTGCAGTCCCTTTTTTTGGTTTTACCTCCTACCAATCTGTATTTTATTCCTTTTAGTTCAGAGTTGAAATGGGTGATAAATTTGTTGGGTGATATTGTTTTGTCACTAAATGAGAGTGTTGTTTTTATTTTAGGTATCCTTTGGAGCTACGGAAGGAAAAGTCAACCAAGGTTAAGGTATAGCCACTAAAAAGACCATTCGCATTTGATCTATCTACTGGTTACAAGTCTGTAGTAGTATTTTGTTAGTTTGCTCTTCCCCCATCCCTCTCTCTCTCTCTCTCTCTCTCTCT